GTAAGCAGTAACCTTTTCAAAGAATGTCAAAAGATTTGTAAAGCAAGATTTTCCATTAGTGAAACCATGTTAAATATCCAATAAAATTCTAAACTTTTTTTCGTACATCCTTTCTGATGTCCTAATTTCCTGTTTCACCAACTTTCTTGATCTTCTATAATCTTCTGAATCTCCTGTCATACCAGGCAATTTAAATTTATTAAATTTATTATGCTTCTCTTTAATTTTATATCTTGAACTCTTTGTGAGCCAACCTGGTTTTTTACTTGTAGCTACCCTTTTCTTTCTAAAAGGAATATTTAAAAACATTTTCCAAATCTGATCAGTATCTCCAAATAACTCAGCTGCCCAACAGATAATTCTTGTTGCATCTCTCAAAATTTGATTTTTTGAAATTTGCAACCAAAATATTATTCCTTAACTCCATATGCAACAAAACATTGAACCTAATAGAGCAATGATCACTTGCACCCAGATGTTCCCCAATTTTCACCCTCTCGATCATTTCTATATATGAAAACCATTAGAATAAGAATAAAAACTAAAGTCTAATCAGATAATATAGTACTATTGTGGTAACAACATTGTTTAACCTCTCCATGTTAGATGCTGTAATGTGTTATTTTTATGATGGTATATGTGTCAAGTTTTAAAAGTTAACTATGTAAGACTAGCTAAATTTTCGATATTTCTTACATAAAGAGAAACTTCCATTATAATAATACAGTATTTTGGATTAATCGGTGACAATCATGTAGTCTTACAGTAACCTAAATAATAAAGTTAAAATAATGTTAATATATTTTGTGATATAAAATCTCTAATTATTATAGTTTCACAACTTTTAAAACCCAATAGCAAATAAGCAGTAACTAAACCCAGTTTAATCATATAACTTTTATTTTAATGACAACACTAAAATCTCAAATGGAGAGTGTGGGCTAACAAAATGCTAATTCATTATCTGTTGCCAAACTCCTATTGATTTTGTATACATGCATGTCTTTTTTGTTGTTGTTGTTGTTGTAAGAAGATGCTTGGAGCTGTGGAATATTTTACCCATTGCATCACATAAACACTTGTTAATTTAAACCAGCAAGACTTGTTACATCTGCATATTATTAAAATTTCCTGTTTATATAATGTAGAATTATACATTAACGTGACCTGAATATAGCATAAATATGTACCACACAAACACTCCATCACAACTTTCTGGAGTAAATTGTCTATCTGAGTAGCTTGAAAAGCTACATGTACAGACTATGCAGTAAACAAGCATGTGAGGAAACAGGTAAGTATTGATAATACAGTATCTAAATATATTCCAGCACAGAAAATTGCATAAATAGTTGGGAGGAAGAACAGAAAGAATGAAGGTTTGTGGAATTCAAGATGAAATATACAGCACTTGACCAAATTAATTTCTGAAGTAAATGGTTAGTCTGTCATGTAACTTGCATATAGCTAAGATAAAGAAACAAACTTGTGCAAAATGGGAAAGTACGATGGTATTGTATGCAGGACTCGAAACTAGCACAGGGTCCGAGAGCCACTGCCCCCCCCCCCCCCCAAAATGCCAATGGACACATAAAAGTGCCTCCTAGGTAGCTCTTGTGTCCCCTTAAAATCAAGAGCTCTCTTTCACTATGGACTTGGTCTCAAGGACTGCCCTCGTAACCATTTTGTGCTTGTTATAGTTTTTGTGCTAGAACTTTTAAAACAGGACGCATATCTTCACGAAATTTTGCAGATTATTAGTAAACATTATAACACTTTCGTATGCAAAATATCAGTTGCTTTATTAAGTTATAAGATCTTTTAAGTAATTGTTTTTTTTTTATGAATTTTTCCTTTTCAAGATTAAAAGTACTTTTATGCATCAGAAAATTTTCAAATTTCACATGCAAAATCTTTATAATTCAGATAATTACCAAACTTTTTTTTTTTTATAAAAAAGCTGTATTTTCGCTATTGTATATCTGTGTGGGTTCAGTCGATTCTACTGACCTCAAAAACCACCATTAAAAAAAAAAGTTATTGTATTTTAGTAATTTGGAGACAAGAAACAATTTCATTTTTATAGAATGGTGTATAAAATAATCATTGTTTTTTAAAACTTTTGAGTTTTTAATATTGAATATCACACATGTGCCAAAACAATTTTTGGAAAAAATATATTTATTTATTTACTTTATTGACTTTTCAGCCATGCCTGACTAACATAACAGAATTTGCAATGAAGAAGCATATGTAAATTCATATCTAGCATAAAAATAGAGTTCCCATGTAAATACTTTTTAATATTTATTTATGCATTAGTTAATTGTTTTAATTTAAAATACTAAAATTTGAATTATCTACAAGTTGATACCAAACTTATTGACATACATTCATAAAATAGTAGTTCAATAAAATTTTGAAAGTGAGTCTAGAAACACTATGCCTTTGACCTGTGATCATAGGTAGACTCATGTCAGTAGCATTAAAAGTTTGAATCCACATAAACTGGTCTAAGCATTTCTTAACCAAGCTGAACTTGTGACAAACCATGACTGGATCTTCCCAAATTTAAAAACACTCGTCACTCATGTACAATCCATAAACATCATCACAAGAGTGGCTAAGGTACCCAACTTGATTGCCCTATCCTAAGGGACCCATGCTAGTGAGAAATGAAACCATGAACAAAGTTGCTTGCTGATCTGTCGGGATATCGCAATCTGGGGGTCCACACCTGAAAAAAAAAAGCAAAGTCAGTGTCATGATGTAAAAGACTGTTTGGTTTAAATATCAGTGATTAATTTATATTTGTGAGTGAATATTTTATTATTTTTAAGTTTTGTTATAATAAGAGTTAAAAGCAGACGATTGTAGAAGGTTTTGTTAACAACTAATTGGTGTCGAGAATATAGAAAGTGGCCGCATGACTACGCAATAAAGATATAAATAGCGTGAGATGAGCGGGAAGCAGCAGACAGACAAAAATAGACAGATAATACAAAAGAGAATATAGATGTGTGTGAAGTTAAGTACTGTAGATGTGATAGGCCTAACGTTTAATATGTTGAAATAAAACCAACAGTAATAAAAAAAAAAAAAAGGATAATTTTATTCCGTCAAAGTGTGATTCTAAGGTAATTGAATCAGCCTGGGTACACTTTGACAAAAGGAACAGAGGATCTTCAGAAGAAAGAAGACCAAACGAATTAGTTACTTGCACCACAACTGTAAGTGAATCACAGAGAATACTAGTACGATAGTAATATAGAGAAGATAGTTTGACTTGTCAACTGAAATTCACAGTAATTGAATAGGCCTAAGTGGACTTGTGACAAGAAGAAGAAAACTTCATATAAATAGTGTTTATGGTATGCCTGCAATCTCTATAGTCTGAAGACTTTGTACATACGTTTCACTTGTTCTGAATAATAGATATATATGATTATATTTGAAAACAAGTAAAGTGTGTGCTGTTTATTCATTGTTGAACTTATCATTAACAAGTCACAAACACCTACTGTAGAAGAATCCTAAGCCCAACAACAACATAGTATATATTTTTAAGAAATATAAATAAAAGCCATTTCTTTCAACAATTGGCAAAAAGAAGAACTTGTATAATTTTCTCAAAATCTGACAGCCAGCTTCCTTGGTAGGTATTTTGGTTTTAAAACTTTCAGGTTCAGAAGGAGCCTGAAAGGTAACCAGAGGCAGTCAGAAACTATAATTTCTCTTCTCCCCACTTGCAAAAACTGGTTGAACAACTACCAAGCCTGCAAAGAAATTGTTGTAAAATTTTGGAGTGCTTTGGTGAAATAATGTGGAGTTTAATGTTGTTAAAGTATGATACCACTATCATGATTGCCCATTTTACAATGAGCTATAAGTTTAATGTTGTTAAAGTATGATACCACTATCATGATTGCCCATTTTACAATGAGCTATAAGATTGGTCCTTAAAAATGCATTTTTTGTTTGTCCTCAAGTTTTGACAAATTTTTAGTGCCAAATTACATTTTGATTTGTCTTATGAAGCAAAATTCATTATTGATAACTGATTGTCTTCTGATGAAGACCTTTTGGTCAATATTATTTTCAGTGTTCTATTGATAAATACTTTTGGGCCTGTTTGACTGTACTGTTATTTTCATCCTTTACTATGTTGTTGTTTTTTAATTTTGCACCTTTCTAATACAGACTAGACCAGTGTAGCAATTTCAGCTATTGGTCATTCTTTAATAAAAGCAAAATCCAAAAAGTTGTGTTCAATTTGTACCGATATTTTGAGACTGTAAGGGGGAGGCAAGTAGATTTTTCTAGCATTTTGACCCTTGGACAAAATTTTTTTGTTTTTGCTTTTTCTCACAAGAATTTGCACACCTCTATAAATAATGTTTAAAATTGAAATAGTGGCTTTACTTGAGACTTTTGCAGTACTCTGAATTTTAATAGATAATTACATGTATTAAATATTAAAGTGGAATTTTGTTCATCTTGGAGTTTTTAAGAGCTATAAACCTTTCTCAATAATAAAACAAAAATCTGCAACTCTCCTTTTAAATTTGGAACACTTTTTTACATCTTAAAAAAGAATTATACACAATTCAGACTGCTCCAATGAATAGCATTAGCTCTGTATTTGTCGAATAGTTAATCTTTTTTTAAATTATATATTTTTTGTGGGTGATTAACTTTTTCAAGACTGAAAAAAATTATTATATTGCTTTAACATTCAAAAATCTATTTGTTGATCTGTTGTTGACTGTTAATAGATTAAGAATAAGTGTGTAATGTATACTTCCAACTTAATTTTTGTTACTTAGCTAAATGTTTTATTGATACATATGCAATTATAACAAAATTGATTAAAAGTTACACTTATTTAACATTTATATTAATAAAAAAAGAACTTAAAATCTAGATTTTGTTATTTTTAACTTAATATTAACTGTTACATTTATGTAGTTAAACATTTTTTTTCTTCTGTTTTTAAACAGGTATACTAAACTGGGATTTGCTGGGAATAGAGAACCTCAGTTTATCATTCCTTCTGGTAAGTTATGTTTTTATCAACTATCAACAGCTAAGTTTGCTCAAACATTTATTTTTTTTGTCATGAGTGTGAAAGTTTTTTTATTCTTAGAGGTTTAATTGTTTTGAGATGACTGTGGTTTTAGGTGAAATAGAACTGGATGCATGATATGGTTTTATTCAATGTGGCTAATTTATCTTATTTATTTATTGATGGAACCAGCATATTTGTATTTTGGGCACACCCATATCTGCTCTGCTCTCTGGGTGTAGAATGTTGATTTTCATCAGTAGCTGGTTTCTTGCTTGCTGCTTAGTCTGCTACGATGACCATCTCCCACTTTGACTCCATTCTCGAACAAATAGCTCGGAATGTGGGATTCTTCTTTGTTGTGTGCCTTCTTCATGTTGTCTGATTGCACTAATCACGTCATTTTTGTCACAGATCAAGGCAACTCTGATAAGTGCAGCATTAGCCAGCCTGCCTGCTCTTTCATTTTGGCATGGCGAGGACAAAACACCCATATCAGTTTTTAGAGCCACATTTTAGGGATTGACTTTATCCATTCTGCATGGAGTGATCCAGCTAATATTTTCTTCAGTATGCTTTTAGTGCCTGTTGCCAATACTGTATGTGTGAATGCCTTGCTCTCCAGCCACCTCAAGCACTAGTTAGCAGCCATAACCTCCATTTTCATGCTGGGTGTTGTCACATTGTATGTATTGATGTTTTCATCAACTGTTTTCCTGTCCACTTGTACTATCTATATGACTATTGTATATGACAGATGGATATATATCACTGCATCTTAATTTCAGTTAGCTGTAAAATTGTAACATTACATTTCTTGGTCATTAATAATAGTAGCTGATTTTTATATAATGTTATGTTCTGAAAATTTTAATTTTTGCAAGTAATAATTATTCTGTTTTAATGTAATATAAATACAAGAAGAAATTTCTAATTGAAAAAAAAATTTAATATTCAGTTTTTTTCATGAGGTTTAAAGAATGGCATTAGTTTAGTTTGCCCACTGTCTGATCTCATCTTTTTCAAGGGTCAGAATGTTACATTCCCGAGGAATTTTATCTGTAGTTTGCTCACCCGATTAGGAATGCATAGTCCATACGTATTCCATTAGTTGTGACCAATAAAAGTGAACATATTGCATGGATTAAAAAAAAATTCACGAGGAAATGAAACTTTACATGAGGGAGTGTATTCTTCTTGATAGCCTTCCCTCGAGTAATTTTATTTCATTATTTCTCTCTGTTCTTTCAGCTCAGTAAATATACAGTGGCATGGATGTGCAGCATAAGATATTCAAATAATTATTTTCAATGCATAACTAAGATGTGCAAATTACAGATATACCTGCTAAAATTACAAGCCATTGGAGCTGTTAATACCCAAAAGCTTTTCAATTATGTAGATTGATAA